TCTTTTCTCTTCTCTCAAAACCCTAACTCTTTTTCCAAATGCGTAAACTAACTAAGTTCAGTTTAGACCCCTAAGTAATTACCAAAAACTAATTAAAATAAAAGGGTAAGGAAAAGGCCAAACTACCCTTCAAAAATCCAGATTTGGACTTTCCTTAATCCAACAGCCCAACTTCCAAAGTGCATAACTTACTCATATGAACTCGAAATCGCACAAACTCGGCGGCGTTAGAAAGATCATTCCAATAGTTTTCCAACCATATCTGGAAGTACACCTAACTCATCCTGATCTAGGAGTTATGACTATTTGAAGTTGACCAAAAACTCACTTTTCCTAACCTAAACAAATTTCCAGATTTTCAATTCTTTCCAAAAATGACTATTTCCAATTCTTAGCTTCTTCCTAGCTATTTCAAATTGCGATATGTTACACACCCACCCACCTACCATCCCCCCACCCCCCAAAATTTTTTTGAGTTTGTTTTTAAAAAATATTTTTCAACTTCAAAATTTCATTTTTTCACCCCTACCCTCGACCCCCCCACAAAATAAAATTTAAGTTTGTTTTTTAAAAAATATTTTCAATTTCAAAAATTATTTTCTACTCTAGTAAAAATAAAAGATATTTCTCAAAAATATTTTTCATTCATAAATCAAACACTAAAAATCTTTTCTACTCACCAACCAAATATGAGAAAATAAGTCAAAAATCTACTTGTTTTCCAGGAAAACATTTTCTAGGAAAATATTTTTCATGGAAAACATTTTCCTTCATACCAAACACACCCAAAAGTTTGACTTATTTTATGTGCAGAATGGTGAACATGAATAATCATGGTGCAGAAGTGATCATTGATGAAAATGAGATAGACAAAATCTCTAATTTACCCATGGATATCCTCGATGAAATATTCAAGGACATGTCATTTCGAGAATTGGTAAAAACATGCATCTTGTCGAAGAAGTGGGAACATTTCTGGGTTATGCATCCAATACTAGTTCTAGAAAGGGAGTTCTTTGAAGAGAAAAGTGGTACAATAGGATTGATTGAAAATGGTTTTAGTAATATGATTGACAATATTCTCTTGAAACATGTTGGATCCTTAGCCAAATTTTTCCTTGATTTGTCAATCATCTATTGTAATGGTAGGGACCTTGACCGTTGGTTGTTATGTGTAACAAGTAAACGTGTCAAAGAACTTACCCTAAAAAATCACAAACGCAAGCGTTATACATTCGCCTTTTTGTATATTTGATTGTCCAATTCTCACATATCTAGATGTCACCAGTTTCATAGTTAAACCACCTTCTTCCAAAGCATTATTCCCACATCTCCGTTAATTGACCTTGAAGTTCATCAAATTTTGCCCAGCCAAAGCAAATTTTGTCTTGAATACTCCATTACTTTCATCCTTAACATTAATTGCTTGCAATGGTGTTCATTTGCTCACCATATCAGCTCCTAGGATCAAATTCTTGACTATTGATGATAGTCATGACATTCACACATTTTAAAAAAAAAATCTCAAATGTTAGGGAGTTGTCATTCTATGAAGAATCTTATTATGAAGAAGCGAGGTTCATAACATGGTCGCTTCTTCTTTATTTGTGTTCTAACCTAACAAGGCTTGTTTTGATTAATTCTTGCATTCAGGTTAGTATAATTTGATCAAGACATATTTCAATATTTTATTACAAATCAATAAATGTTACTATGCTCATATATACTTAACCATTGATGCATTTTTTTCCTTTTATTTTACTTTTATCAAGCAATTGGGTGCAAAATGTTTTCCAAAAAGGTTTGATCAATCAAAACCCTACCATTTGGAGCATGTAAAGTTGTGTGTGACCATGCTGGATCTAAACCAAATCTTTGATGTTCTTTCCTTGATTCGACGTTCTCCCAACTTGTGTTCACTGGAAATAGATGTAATGTATCTCACCTTTTATAATTTAAAATTGAGTTTAAGTTATATATACATTGATAGTAGGTTACCTATACGTGTTGCAGTAGGTAATCTTTGTTACTAGTAGATACTTTTTAGTGACTTGATAGAGTAAAAGCATTTTACATTGTCATTGCATATAAGTTAAACACTTTACAGTTTTAGAGTTTGACCTATACATGTACCGACACTGTAATGAATTTTATGCTCTATCAATATCAGGTTATACAAATTAAAAATATCTACAAGTAATATCTTATAGTAATGGAATTTGTAATCCTTAATGTAAGACAATTTTACTTGTTACTACTTGTAAAAGTTACTAACCTTTTTTTTTGTTTGAATTTCTATAGGTTTTCAATAGCTCGAGAGAAAGAAAGATTGGTGAAGTTACATATTATCTGGAAGATCCAAACTGTGTCGACCAACAATTTGAGAAGCTTGAATTTGTGGAACTAAGAGAGTTTGAGGGGACAATATTTGAACTCATTTTGTTAAAACAAATATTGGCATACCCCTTCACTTTCAAGGATGATTGTTGAACCTTCTGATGATCTTGATGCAACAGAGGTACTAGATTTGTATGAAGAACTTATGATGTCCTTAAAAACATCACTAAGGGTAAAAGTCATTGTGGCACCTCATAGTCAAGATGTGTAACTTGTGTTCAGAGGCAGATTCCGAATTTTATTCTATGGAATATTTCAAACAATTTCAATGACTTTTACTTTCGTTTCATCCTTGAACTTGTGATATTTTATGGGGATCTTCTTTAATTTAATGTGGAGATTATGGATGAACTATTATTTCTTTGTATTTTTCAATTTGAAGACTTGTTGTTTTGCAACCATGTGGGAGATTATGGTAGGATATGACATAAGCAAATTCTACGTCGATAATATACATACGAGAAAGATGCCCGCTATACGCGGAAGCACGCCTTAGTCATTAAAAAGATCATTCTAAAGCTATGCAGACTTAAGTGCAAAGTAGATAATATCACTAATGGGTATTAGACCCACCGCGCAAGCAACCTTATTAGTTATGTGGTTGATGGTGGGCAAAACCTTAAGGTTCAAGTAAATTTAGGAAAATCCCAAAATTGTTGAAATGATGGTTGAGAAAACCTCAATGAATACTTGTAGATAATTCTCATAGCTTGATCAAGCGTGTCAAATTAAAGACATTATCCTTCACCCATAGCACCAACCCAGTGATCTGCTTTAGAACTAGAAATAACTTCTTTATAGTTTTTAGGCTCAAGCACATTAATAATCTCAACAACTAATAACACAAATTTCTCAAAATTTGCATATCCAAAATAATTTTCATCAACTACGTTTGCAAATAATTTTGGTCGGTTGATCACTCTCTTTTTTTGGCCTATTAGAATGTATGAATTCTCAGAATTTTCATATTTCTCAAAATTTGCATATCCATAAGAATTTTCATCAACTACGTTTATAAATATTTTTGGTATCACTCTCTTTTTTATTTATGAATTCTCAGAATTTTCATATTTCTCAAAATTTGCATATCCAGAAGAATTTTCATCAACTACGTTTACAAATATTTTTGGTATCACTCTCTTTTTTATTTATGAATTCTCAGAATTTTCATATTTCTCAAAATTTGCATATCCATAAGAATTTTCATCAACTACGTTTATAAATATTTTTGGTATCACTCTCTTTTTTATTTATGAATTCTCAGAATTTTCATATTTGAACTGCACTTTGGTGTCCCAAACAATTTTGGACCAAATGGAAAATCATTGACGTTAAGTTTGGAATCACCAATCATGTTGCTTACTCATCAAAGTGCAGTATTTTTTTAATGAAAGTGCAGTCTATGCTATGATAGTTCAATCCAACAGGAACAATTATTACAAATATATATAGGTGAAAAGTGATACTTATAATATAAAAGGTTTGAAGGGTAATTTTGTCATTTAGTAAATTTATTCCATGACAAATTATGATGGAATTAATATACCATCGAAGGGGAGGGATAACTTATTCCGGTACTAATTATTAATTGTGGGGTAGGTTATTCCACACTTTCCAACCAAACAACAAATATAGTGACGCTATAATTTAATCTCAGGATTATTTTGTGTTATCCTTCACATGAAACGACCCCTAATTGCTTTGAAGTATTGGAAGTAGTTATCATAATCAATGTTTAGTCATTCTAAAGATTAATATGACAATAATTTAAAAAGGTAAGAATGAAAAGTAATGTCTAATAAATGTCTTAATATTTTTTTCTTAAAGGGTGTGCAATATTCCAACAAATTATTTATATTTAATTAATGGAGGAAGTACTATACTGTGTACTCCCTTGCTCCTATAAACATATCGTCCTTACTAAAAAATAGATGTTCCTTAATTAATATTTGTCATTTCACAAAATCAATACATAAATTGTAATATTCTTCCTATTTTACCCTTGAGAGTTATTAGCCTTGAAAATATGAATTTGACCGACATAGAAAAACTAAATGATTAATTCATGTTCATTGGTCAATTTAGTTAATCATAATAAATTAATTTATGTTCATTTATGGAAAACTTGACTTCAAGAGAACACTAAAAAGAGTACAATAGTAAACTTACCTAATTTCTTAAAGGGTCGTAAATCTAAAATAATGACAACTAAATAGAAAGAAAGGAAGTGATTTGTAATAGTAATTACATGGTCTATTTCAATTAGTAGACAACTTTTCAAACAAAGACTTAATGATATGGGATATACTCAGTAGGCTTCCTGTGAATGTGATTAATATTATTCTTATGCATTTGCCTTTACGAGATGTTGTTTGAACAATCATCTTGTCGAAGAATTGGAGATACAAGTAGCGCAAACTTTCAGAATTGAAACCTGATCAAATACTTTATGATACAATAAAGGAAAAGAAATCACCAGTGATTCAATTTGACAACATTTTCAAACACCTCAAGGCCAATCTTGTAGGACCAATTACGAAGTTTACCCTTGATGTTACTGGCCTTGAAAGTTGGCCTATCATTCATGAGAAGACATATTTCTTCTCTAAGAATGGTATTCAACATTTTTTGCTTAACTGGATTACAATCCATCATCTGAAATCTATCTAGAATTTCTGAGGTCTGACATTTCAAACTCATCCATCATCAACTTCTTAAATTCTTCAAACATGACACCACAATTTCAAGTATATATAAGATCATCAACATACAAGCAAATAATGAGCATCTTTCCTTTATCCCCAATCTTAACAAATAATGTATGCTCATAAAGACATTTTGAAAAAACCAATTTTTAGAAAATACTCCTCAACGCGACTATACCAAGCCCGAGGAGCTTGTTTTTGGCAATAGAGGGCCCTTTTCAATCTATAAACCTTATCCTCATTTTGAATTTTAACATAACTAGGTTGTTCTACAAATACTAGTTCCTCCAAGTACCTGTGTAAGAACGCCGACTAGACATCTAGCTAAAAATAGGCCAAGACTTCTGAGCTGCTAATACGATAACCAATCTGATTGTATCATGTCTAGCAATGGGAGAAATACTTATGTATAAACTATCACGTATTGTTGATTTTATCCTTTAGACACTAAATGTGCCTTGTACTTGTCCACTTCACCATTTTTCTTCAACTTTATTTTGAAGACCCTTTTCACTTCAATGGTTTTCTGTCCATTTGGAAGATCTGACAGCTCCCAAGTATCATTTCGCTCAATGGCATCAATTTTATAATCCTTTGCTTTTCTCCATTTTTCTTCCTTCACAACACTCTCAAAAGATGTAGGATCGCAATCTGAAGACAAAGAAAAATGAGTAATTGGATCTTCAATTCCAGTTACCTTGTAATTTTTCATCCAAGTAGGCCTTCTTCTAACTCGTACGACAATTTGAGTTGCTTCTTCATTTGCTACAGAAATTGTTAGTGAAGTTGTAGTGGCTGAAACTGATGAATTTTCCAGCACACAGGGTGCTGACAATTTCTCTTGTTCAACGTCATAGTCACGGAGGATTTGGGTAGGCTGCTGCCTATTCCGATCCAAGTTCTTTCCTTATCAAAAGTAACATCCATGTTGATAACAATCGTTTTGGTCAATGGATTAAACAACTTATGCTTTGGAAGACTCACTTAAACCAAGAAAAACACATTTTTCAGCCATGTCATCAAGTTTTTTCCTCCTTTGATCTGGGACATGATCATATGCAATGCATACAAAGATTCTAAAATAATCTAGTGTTGGTTTTCTCCCATTCCACACCTCCTGTGGTGTCATATTTTTAACAAAAAAAATTGAGCTTCTCTTTAAAATATGTACAGTACTCCAATTTACGGACTCTGGCCAAAGAGTCTTTGGAATGCTTTCTCTGACTAACGGAGCCTGACATGAGGTGTTTAAAATGAACAAAGTCTGGTTAGGAGGGTCATCAATGAGTTTGGCCATGTTTTTTCTATAAAGGATAATTTGATTTAATCATAAAGGAAATGATAGGTTGTACTTTTAATTAGGTAATCACTTTATAATCATACACTTATATGATTAGCTGAATACTAAAAACTATAAGTCATCATTGAAATTTTTTAAGCAGTAATTTTTCATATTTATTTTTAAATACCTTGAAGATAGACTACCTTTATAGAAGCCTATTATTTTTCTAGAAATATTTTGATGTTTGGTGTAGAAACACTCCAATCTTTATTTAATAGAAAATACTGATAACTAAAAATCTTACTAATTAAAAATTGAAGATATAACAAATACATTCCTAGTAAAAAGATTGCATTCTTAATTATAAAATTATTGACAAAAAGTACAATAAAACAACTATATGTATTTCAATTTCTATTTTCATATCTTCATATGGAGGAGACATTATTAGCTAACATGTTTTGTAGTTTAATCTTTCGATCTAACAAACGATGAGATTTCATTCTTTCTCACTATTTAGAACTAGTATACGTACCCACGCGTTGCGTGGATAATATTAAAGAAAGTAATTATGTTATATATCATGTTCAATATATATTATATACTTGTGTATACAATTTAATTTAATGTAAATTAGTATATGAATGAGTGAAGCCTATTAACGTATGAGTTATTATTGCATATTTATGAGATGATTTGCAAAGCAAATTTTTCCGTACTTCTTGATGCATCTTAAATACTTGTAATTTATGAAAAAAGATCAAATATGATAAAAATTTGTCATAAAGTTCTCAAGTTACAAAGAATAAACATCAACTTTAAAATCTAAAATTAATATAAAAAATATTACATAAAATTTTTAAGTATAATAGGAATTTAATTAAAAACATAGCATTTAAAAAATATTAAATTAAAATTTTTATATAATGATAATAAAATATTCGTTAATGATTTTCTCAACCTGTTTATCACTCCACTTAAATAACCTTAGTCATACATTTTCTTTTTACACAAAATTAAAACTAATAAATTTACTCAATCAATGTACAATTTTAAATTAAAATTTGAAATAATAAGGGGCACTAAACTACTCAAAATATCAAATG